TGACTGTGCAACCAACCATTAATAATAATAATAATAATAACAAAAATAGATATGTGTAACTGAAACTAAGGGAAAAGATATAATAGAATGAATGTGGGCCGAATACAAAAGTGAGTGATCAGCATAAAAGAAATACATCCCTTTCTCGTATTGTTAAAATAATTTAACATACTTTGTTTTTTATGGTTAATTTCTCAACAATGATATACTGAGCGCTGACTATACAGTCTCTGCAATTTCTTTGTCCACTTACAGTACTGATATATTTTCTGTATCAACTGTTGTTGTTTTTTATGCTCAGGTGTTTTGGTCAAATAGAGAGAATGAGCAGGGATCACATTGCAAAACAAAGGTAAAATAAAACAATGTCTGGTTGTTATTGGAAAGCGCATTGCAAACATACAGTTCATCCTACAGAGCTGGCATGTGACATTACTATACAAACAGAATGATACGGGAAGGGCAAGATAAGATTTCTGCGTTCTAGGACATAATAACAGATTGCAATATTATTCATGCTGTAGGGCAATGCTTTCATCATGTTAAAGCTACTCAGTGGTGGAGGAGCCCTATTAATCCCAGAACATATTTACCTGCTATTACATCAAGCTGTTTGGTTTGCTTTCAAATGAATTTACTGTATTGAACAATTGTTAAATTTTTGGCCAGTGGAGGGAGCCAGATACTATGTAGTAACATTTGAGTAGGTGGACACTGAGACTTGGAGCTGGAAAGAGGAGACCAAAGTTTCTTGTGGCAACAACCTTTTAACCTTTGGCTGTTTGGGGAATAATAAACCGTGTCACCTGTCTGGCTCCCTGCCCCATCGAACTGTATAGTTTTATTTAGAGTCTTTTAATTGTAAATGGAAAGATAGCATGTTGCATAGCAAATCATCAAAATCAAATATCTTTTTTCTTTTTAATTTCTAAGATGCGTCTAGATTCTAGATTAGATTTCATAGGACTTACTGGAAGAATAAAAATAATGTGGGTGGCTAGAATCCAGTACTTTGGAAATATGCTCACCCCTCCAGGGGCCGGGGGAACCAAATGGCTTCTTGGTGGACTAGAGAAAAAGGGAGGGAAGAGCTGTAAATGGAGGCTTTCTAACTGGCCATCCCTTTCGCTGTGGCCATTGCAAGAGAGTGCCTGGGACATATTCTCCCAGTTCCAAGTAATCCTTTGCTGATGGAGCAGCACCAGCGCAGATCCCCATAACACAGGATGCCAGGAAACCATCTGAAAGCCATACAGCATAAAGTCATCCAGAAGAAGGTTTGGGTTCTGGGTCCAAACTTTGCAGATATGCATACACATGCCTATCTACCCACCCTATTCCCCTTCAGGATAAGGTATATTGTGCAAAGTGCTGGAAAAAGAAAGCAATAACACACAAAGGGAAGAGTTAAGGAAAGAGAAAAGAGAATTTTAATTAAATCTGGTTTACCTTAACCCTATTTACTATAACTTCCATTCCTTTCTATTCTTGCAAATGATTCTTCCTTTCACCATGTCCATACACTGATTCTAGGAATGTGCAAAACTCACCAATTCAGGAACCCAACATTTTCAAGACCCCAGAACTTTCTGTTTCCCCCCTGAATCATGCTAAACCTACTTGTGGCCATGCAATTGGCACTTTACAAAAGTAAATTCTCCCAACTAAAAGCAGATTGTTCTGGATCAGTGAGCGCTATATGTTCCTAATTTAATTTAAACATTACATTTAAATTTAATTTAATGTAAACATTGGTCTTTGTTCTTAAAAATACACAGTGGCTTCTTTTTGAAGATCACAACTTTCTTGGTCTTCCCTGTCCTCTTGACATATTCACTTTTCTTTGTCTTGGGCACTAACATTTATAGGACTCAATTCCACTCTTCAACATATGCTCCTTCTACCATTCCCTCAGTTCCTTTTCATCCTGAATCATTTCATCACTTTCATTTTTAAGGCCACTCATTCTGCTGGAGGCTCCTAATTTAGCCTTTTTTCTGTGCTTCAAAAAACAATTTGGAATGAAACTGAAGTGATGGAATCCTGGAAGGAGTATTTTAATGATGTGTATAGGATGAATAGTAATATGTTGAATATGTTAAAAGCTTTTCCCCCTGTATTTCCAAAAACAATTTTATTCCCATCAAAACTGTTCTGTATTTCTTAATCTTAACCTTTCCTTGCTGTCTTGGACTGTATGCTTTGCAACTATTTTTCCCTATACATACATTATACATAATCTTCCTCTTGACCTCATTTTTGCAGCATTCTCTCATATTTATTTATTTTTTCTCATCCACAGCCTCTTTTACTTCATCATTCCATCAAACACCCTTTTTGATGTTTCCTATTAGCGTAATTCTGAACATTTCAATGGAACTTTGTACCATAATTCTTTTCACTCAGATTCAAGCAACTTCCATATCCTTAGGGAATATGGAATACATTTATGCTTAAACTACATATTCAAAACAGATATTTTAAAAGCAGATATGCCCCCAAAGTCATCATCCTCATACATCCTTGGGTCTGTGAATGGTCCAATCATTTTTTCTGTACTCTCTCATCTTGTTCCCATTCATCCATTCATGTCACTTAACATAATATTTTATTTCTTCTTTTCATTCACTGAGAAGATTGCACAAAATTTTTCAAAACTCATCTCTGCTTCTTCCATTATCATCATTCACCGGAGCATAACATGCAACTATCACCAGCTTATGGATTCCTTCTTTCATACATGCCCACAACTATCTAGATGACATCAATTCATACTTTCTGATGCAGGTTTTAACCCATTCATTTATACTATATGTATTTATCAACTCCATTGCACAAGACTTGACCTCCTTCATTCAGCTCTTTCTCTTTCTTTCTCTTAATTTCATAAATATAAAAGACTTTTTTTTTCTTCCCTTCATTTTCTTCATGTTCTTTACCATATAGTCCTTTCAAGCTGGAATTTTCCATATGCCATGGTTGACAACTGATGGGCTAGACTCATGAATATTTACCTACATCACCTATCAGGCACTAAATTCACATGAGAAGACTGAACAGTATTGGCTAGTTTGTGGTTCAGTCTGTTTTGAGGGCCTACATATTCCCAGAAGTGTCTGTCTATCTGCCTCTCTCTCTCTCTCCCCCCCCCTTTCTCTCTCTCTCACACACACACATATGAAAGTATTGATCCCAAAGGATTCACACTGGATTATTAATTCTTACATTGTTGGATTCTTGATCTGACTTCATTGACTCAGCAATGTATTTGATGCCTTCAATTGCACTTTTAACATCTGGATTTTTAGTAAGTGATGTCTGGAAATTCATAGCCACAGGTTCTTGTTTCCCTGAGATTTCAGATATATCTGTGTCTTCCGTAAAAATCCTGTTTTCCTGCTTATTTTTGGATGGGCGTTTCATTGTTGAGAAAAACATAACATTTGGAATTGTTTCAATAAATATCTGAAAAAAATAGATACTTATTTTAGAGAAGTTAAATGAAACTACCACATGCCACTTCTCTTAATCTCAGGAGAAAATAGATTACTATTTGACACTGGGATGCTCACTGGGGATCAAGGAAGCAACTAGAAGGGTATCAATAATTCAAGTTGCCCACTATTGTTTACTTGTATAAATAACTATTAAATGTTCAGCTATTGATTAGGATGTGACGTTAGAATTCCATGGACTTTTATCAATTACAGTGCAAATACTGGTTTTATTATTATTATTTTTGGCATATTGAGTGGTATGAGTGATGGAGGCTCAGTTGCTAAAGATGGCTTTCTTTCCTATTAATTTGGTACTTTTCTTTGGAAGTGAACAAGCACTTCTTTCAAGAAAAAGAAATACAATAATGTCAGATTAAATAGCAACGTGTTGTATTTTGTATGACATAGAAAATCAGCTGTCTGCCCTGCAAGCTTCTCTTTTAAAAATATATATTTTATTGTTTCAAATTAATTAAAATGGAAGAAGAAGAAATGCAAACAGTGTTAACAAAATAATATAACATTGAAACTATCTCCCAGCCCCCCAGAAGGAGATGGAATAGACCAAAAAAAAAAAAAAAAGGCCTGGGTTTTTGTCTAATATACAAAATAACTTCCAGAAATTTATCTTAATTGCTTGAAAGTCTTCTTCCTTGGCCTTTTACTTCAAATACTACTTAACACCAAGCCATTGCTACAAAATCTTTATAGATTAACCAGGTGTTTCTAAGAAGTAGCATCCTTCTACCTTTGCTTCCCTGGAGCAATTGGAACTAAGATGTATACAGTATATGGTCTAGTGGTTAATTCTCCAGGCT